TCGAGATAAGGAACACTGCACTAAAAATGGCGGTTTCCGAGCGAGCAGTGTGTTACTGTTACACGACATACCATTTGAAAAGCAAATAACAACCGCTGATCAACCGCTGACCAACTCGTTTTCTTTGTTTTGCCGTAAGTTAACTTTGTTTTGCCGTGAATTAGGGGTGTTCTGCCCTGATTAATTTCGTTTTGCCGTAAATTAATGGTGTACTGCCGTGAGTTAATTTTGTTTTGCCGTCAGATAACATTATCTTGCCGTGAGTTAAGTTTGTAGTGCCGTGACTTTTTGTTTTGCCGTGACAGTTGTGGGCCACCGTACAGATCGCTGTCAAATTTCCCGCGAAAAGAACTCGTGGCGCGCGCGCGGGACCTTTACGGCCAAAGTTGTTGCGGCTGGCGGCCTGGAAATCCGCTGACTAACACATGAAGTCATCGCTTTGTAAGTTGCGAAAACATCGTTATAAATTCAGGCCCAGAGTTCTTTTCTTACCCGAAAAGGCCACGAAATGTCAGCCAAAACTCCTTCCGAAAGTAACTCATGACTTAGCTTTTAGCTCTTGAAGAATAACATTTCTTTCGACCACGAACCCTCGTATTCCAGGGTTTCAACGTTTTTATGTTTCATGCCATTTAAGACAGTCATTCAGAGACTTTTGATTGTTGATCAGATGATTGCTGAACTTGTTTGCAGTGTTTTATATATATATGGTTTTGTTAACAGGGTTTTACCATATAGCATTCAAGCCTAAAATTTTCCAGGAGCTTAATCCCTTCCCAATATAAATATATTTTTCAACTGGAAAATTTCTTCGATACCGATAAGCTCCTGCGAAGATCAACTCCCCGGCAATAAGCCCACCAATGAAGAACTGGGTGAGGAGGAGGAAGGAGTGGGGAGGGGGCCGGAGGAACGCGGTGTTGGAAGCGTAGTGGTGAGAGCACCCTACTCCCAGTAATGTGTCACGCTGGGCTTAATCCAGCATTAGGGCGGTTGTCGTCTTTAACCTTAAGGGTTTTTCTTAATCCTGACTTCAGTAACACGAGACATTTAGTGTGAATAGTTTATTGAGGATGCGTTAGTCAGCCATCTGATGTAGATGTATTCCGTCTTTTAAGAGATAACCTGTATCCTTGCAAATCACAACTATTTGTTATTACACTTAGTACCTGTGTTACGCCAGATACGAAAACCATTAAAAAAACACCCTTTAAATGTGGCCAAAAGATATGTGGAAACGTAGTCCTCATCTATTGCAGCAGCGAGAGCACGAGACCCCGAGGAAAGGCGTCGATAATTACAGGATTTACTCAAGCAGTATTTTTAACCATGTACTTTTACTTTTCCTCTGAGATATTTATACCTAAGTCTAGTTACTCTGTGAATCCGAGATTGAATGAAGTATATGTATATATGAATGTATTAGTAACGTAGAACATTTTACAATAATACCGTACAAGCTGTTATGACAAAAGTTTAATAAAAAGGCAGACGAGCACGAAGACAGACTAACCTAGAATGACCGAAATCCCACCAAAAGCCTTAATAGTTTCTGAACGTCCCATGATACCCCGCGAGCCTCTCCACCGTGCCGTCAAAATAACAATTCTGACTAATTGGTCCGTCACTGAATCGTCAGAAATTACATGCACGCGGAGGGATGTGGTACCACCTCAATAAACAAAACACCAGACTTTGCTCTTTTGTGTCACTTGAGTAAATACATTATTTAAATACCTATTCATAACATAATCCCAAAGTTCACAAAAAGAATTTTAATTTACAATTTACTGAAAGCAGAGGGAAGGGAAGCAACGATTAGTAATCCTTAAAAATACAAACTTCCAACTAATTGCACTCAGATATCAGAGCACGATTTCATTTCAAAGCAACATAAGTAGACAAAACATATTTCTAAATACATAACATCATCTAACTTTTTTATTTGCGTTTTCAGGAGCAAAGCTGTCGGAAAAGTCTATTTAGAGAAGTACCAAATTCAATGCGTGACTGCCAAACTCGTCAGTTAACGGCAGATGTTGTGTCCCTTATGTCTACATTCATTTGATTTGGACGCAAGTGAATGAAACAACCACACTACAACTGCCAATCGTCAGTTATTCCATATCTTGAAATAAAGTCTAGCCTTTTAGATGCTTCAAAGTTTCATTTCGTTTCAGAATATCGATTCCACCTCGAATATTTACAATAGCTGGAATAAAAGATTATTTCTACTTTAAGACTACTTTAGACTGCAAGAGACTTCACAACAAAAAAGTTGATTAAACTTGAAACAAACTGCAGCGGAGGAAGCCTTCCATTCAAGATTTCCTCCTCCAACTTTTTACCACATCTACCGACTCCTTCTCAAAGATTACTAAAAACACCACTCTTGTTCAGTATGAATCATATACTGCTTTCATCTTATGGACGTATGTTTTGTTTTTCACCGCCAATCAATAAGCTCTACGTTTCCCTTCAATTGCAAATTCAGTTACGTCTAAATAAACTGGCCATGGTGAAATTTTATACTTAACCAACGTTTGGCTTGGAACACTGATTAATAAGACACAGGAAGTGGGGCTGGATTGGCCATAATTACAGAAGAGAAAGCAACAACGTGGCAAGACAAGCCTTGGACTGTCATGCACAAAACAGGACGAAACTACGTGTAGGACGCGTTCCAACTGAATGCGTTCCAAGCTACGGGAGTTGAATGGAGCGGGCTCCTCTTGAAGGGGGTCAAAGCATTTGCACTGAGCCATCTACGTTGAAGGGCACTGTATGTGGACGTCCTATGCTCTTCCGGAGATGTAAAGGAATGACTATGTTGATGAACTTTCGAGTCAAACTTGAAAGTTTTTACAACGTTTGCAACTGTCGGATTTAGTGGGTGTAAGTATTTTCGGACGTTCGATACTGAGCTGCCTCTCGCTTTCTCAGATTGCAGTCCCCAAAGCCAAAGAAAGAACTAACGCACAACGCAAATCAATGGAGTTCAGTGATTTTACAGTTTCAGCATTTTTCTAAGTGTTTTCCTGAATTCCCTTTTACGAACGGAGTAAATAATAGGATTGCAGACCATGCTCAGAGAGTACAGCCAGTGAGCAGATAAGATCGCCTCTACAGCAGGAGTGCCTTTTGCGGCACGGTACATAGCTATTATCCACAATGGCAGGTAACAAAGAACGACTGCACCAGTTTTGATCACGACATCTCTGGCAGCCTTACCTTCTATGAGTAACTTGGAGAGTCTCATTAGGGTTTTTCCTGGAGGTCTCCTCTGTTTTTGTGCATGGCTTTCGTTTAGCTGCAGACGGGCTCCTGGCGTAAGGCCCTCGATGATTTGATATTTAGGATCTTCTGAGAAGTTATTCAGCTGAGAAGTTCCATGTAAGTTGGAAGATAGGAGGTGCTCCTCTTGGCCAGAATTTATCCGACATGTTCGCGCTTCAGTAAGGGCGTTGACTGAGTGTGAAATGAGTTTCTTATTTCTTCCTGGATGTTGCTTCTGATCCTCCACTCCAGATGAACTCTCCCCATGCATGGTACCATTTTCCATTTTTTTACGATACCTATCTTCTGCGGTAATTTTGTCTGAAGATGGTTGCTGGATGGAGCCCGTTTGCTCCATTATTTCTTTCTGCATTTGAGCCTCACAAACTCTCTTTTGTAAACCACTGCCATCTTCAAGAGTTGCTTACCGGCTTGGATAATTGGCTTCAGTATGATGGATCTGGACCTCCATTTTACCTGTTGTCTCTCCCTGGTCATTTTCCACTACTTGTGGTCGAGTGCATCGTTTTTCTATGTGATCAAGAAACTTCTTCCCTTTGGAACATCCACTTTTTACGTTATTACTGTTAATCTGGTTTGGGCCGGCCTCTCTTGTGTCGACAGATAGAAATTGGGCTTCATGTGCATTTCTTCTCTCACAAACGACCTCATTCTTGTAACTGGTGAAGTCATTAGGTTCTGGTTGATATGGACGGTTTTCTTCACCTTCATTTCTGTGGTTTTACAGCGTGTTATGCACAATCACATTTAGCGTCTGAGGAGAGATGGTCAACATTTTCTGCGATAAATGTTCATTTTTGCGTTGCTCATCGTGTTGCTTTGGATTTAGGTCTTCTCTGGAGCATTGTTGTTGGCTCGGATAATCCAGCGATTTTGAATTCGTCCCCTCGCTCTTGGGGCCGCAAACGCCTTTATTTATTATTTCAACGCTGCGTTGAACCCGATGGACAACTTTGAGCACTTGGTAGTTTGGAATAACGATCACTCCAAGTGGCACAAGAAATGTGATGATTGATAGTGGAATTGTTGTTAAGCCCTCCCACTTCTGCTCGCATGCGAAAATATCCGGGTTGTATACAAAATCTCCCCATCCGAGGAACGGGGCAAGAGAGATAAGGACTGGTAAAATCCATAGCAGTACCACTACGAGAAAGGCTCTTTTCTTTGTAGTGCGGCTACTGTAGTGGAGCGGCCCTCTAACGATGGCTTCGTATCGCTCGGAAGACACAGCGCACAGATGGAGACAGGTACTGAGGTGAAGAACTCGGATGATGAAAGCAGCTCCATGGCACCAATTGGTACCAAAGATCCATTTCTCTGCAGCGCTGACTGTAGTGCGACTACTTCCTACCAGTGATGCGAAAATCCAATCTGAAAACGCCAAACCGGCTAACAGAAAGTGACGCATGTGTCGAAAGTCGCGATACAAAATCACCACGAGTAAAACGAGAAGATTTCCAACGTAATGTGCTGAGACCAAAGAGCACGGCAAACACTATCATCATGCAAGCAACGACCTAACATTACCCAAATATTGAGTGTTTGCCACCGAACGACGACTGCCTGGTTTGTATTTAATTGGACTTGAAATTCATGTTTCAATATCGAAAAGGAGACAAATAATGTGCTTCAAAGGAAGCTCGTTTCCTTGAAATTAGTTAGTAGTTCAATGCATGCACCGGATAACCGGTGAACGAATCTACAAAAGAATGGGTAGACTGACAAAAGAAATCCATATGATTCTGTTTTTGTTTTTCTCTTTCCGTCTCCTTTTTTGCCAAAATGTTTTCATTGAACCCTCAAATCACGGGAATGAATGAATAAAAGACTGTTTTTATAATTACGTTTTAAAGAGTATTTAGGTTAAATAAAACTAATTGGGTATTTGTTTTTGTAATCTGTATTACGTGGCAAATATTTTTACCAGGCAAAAACTAAGTTTTAAGAAGAAAAACCTCTCATTATCCGTATAATGGTCTTTACGGCCGTCAGCTTGAAGCCAACGTCAGATTGAAAAACCAGAAAAGAGCCATCTTGATGCTTGAAGGCGGATATTATGGAGACACTAGTTTAAACGGTAACTAACGGTTGTTCAATTTCTCTGTTGTAAACAGGGACTCCTCCAGTTACCGTTTTAACATTGTCGGCGTTAATTATCAGGTCGTGAGTAGTGTTTTTAGACCAAACTTCAGCTGCCTAAGAAATCTGTACTGGTGCAAACTTGGTAAATTATCGATTCTGGCCAAACGAAGAATTAGAGATTACCTTTTTTCTTACTGAAAAAAAAAAAAAGACGTATGCCAACTACTTGTTTGTTTTGTTTATTACTCAATCCTTTATAGTTCTCAATCTGATAAAAAATACTATAACATCCTGATCACCTGCAATATTTTTTCAAGACGTTTGAGCAATCATAGCGCTTTTCAAACAAAGGGAACTATATACTCACTCTTGTCACTAATGCCGTTTGCTTCTTGTGCTGTGAAAAAGTGAATTATTCCTTATTTTTTGATGAATGCATCTGAATTGATAATTATTCGAGAGAAAGGCAACAGAATAAACAGGAAAATGATGTTTTCCGCTTAGTTTCGTTTGCCGTACGTCATTTCTCGTGAATGTACGTTGGCAGCTTACGAGCAGCTCAACATTCAAGGTTGTGGCCCTCGCAAGCATCTGGTTGCTGTATGGCCCTCGCAAGCATCTGGTTGCTGTAGTGAGAGAGGGATCTTGATTCCTACAATGATCCCATACACCTCCAAGGTTCCATCGGTGACCATTTCTTCTGGAGAAAACTTGATCGTGGCAGTCACATTGGTTCCTCTATAAAAAAGATAAGGTACAGTCTCACAAGGAGTTATGTCGACCGAGAGAAGTTTGCCCTCGACCGCTTCTACGTCAGTACAGTTTCCTGCTATGATAATGGTTCCGGCTGCTAAGGTGCTGCAAAGCACCCAGAGACGGCAAGATCAACCGGGCATTGCTCCAGATCGACCGCGCGCGAGAGGTTTGCCCTCGTCTGCTTTTACGTCAGTACACTGACGTTAATTTTAGCTGGAATTCTAGTCCTGAGAAAAGCCGTAATAGTGAACACGTGCAAAATTACGATAATTTCGCTGTGATGATATCGATGACGTACTGTTTAATCATATAATTCTGCCTTTTTAAGAAAACGAGGATATCGGTGGGGAATTTTTCATGTTTTTGGAACAAAACCTTGTTTCGGCTACGTCCTGCAACTTACCTGCATCGTCACCGAATAATAGTGGTATCTATTATTGAGCACCGCGTTCAGTAAGAGTTCCATTTAAAAATGGGAATGCATTATCCTTTGGGGGATATTCTGCAATCGCCCCTCTAAAAAAATGTTTTTTTTTCAAATCGACTTTGTCCTTGGCGCCTCGGACGTGACTCTCCCACTTTCAGCACTCAAAATACTCATATAAATCGCTGCTAAATTTCGTGCGAAGAGGACCCGACCTTTACGGCCAAAGTTTCCGCTCCTGGCGGCCTAAAAAGCCGCTGACTAGCACAAGAATTGATCGATTTGCAAGTTGCGGCAATATCGTTATCTATTCCCACTGCAGACCTCTTTTTATATTCACTCGTAAAATTTCGATAATTAGCTCCGAAGAAAAAGTCCCATCCGAAAAGACCCCAAATGTCAGACACAAAAGTTCTTCCGAAAATAACTCCTTACTTAGTTTCAGTTGTTGAAAAATAACGTTTCTTTGGATTGGGAACCCTCGTACTCCAGGTTTTGTTTTATATATGTTTCATGTCATTTAATACAGCAATTCAGAGACTTTTGATCGTAGATCTGATGACTGCTGAACTTGGTTTCTGTATTTTATATGGTTTTGCTAACAGGGTTTTGCCATGCAGTATTCAATTTTTTAGGAGCATAATCCCTTCCTAACATAAATATATATTTTTCAAATGGAATGTTCCTTCAATTCCGAGAAGCTCCTCAGAGCATCATCTTCCCGAAAATAATTCTGTGAAACGGGAGCCGGGCGGAAGCGTTTAAGGCGTGGTGGGGAGAGCGCCCTGCTCCCAGTAATGTGTCACGCTGGGCTCAATCCAGCGTGAAGTCGGTTGTTATCTTAACCTCGAGGGTTTTTCTTAATAATAATAATAATAATAATAATAATAATAATAATAATAATAATAATAATAAAAAATAGTAATAGTAATAGTAATAATAATAATAATTATGATGATGATAATTTAATTTAATAAAAAAAGAGGAGTGTTTATTGTGACAAAAACTAGAGCTAAGCTTAATAATATTAATATTAATAATAATAATAATAATAATAATTAAAGCGTATATAGCGCAATTTTCCATGACGTACATGATGAAATGCGCTTGACTATTAGATAAAGTGATTAAAAATAAATAAAATATACAAATTTAATTGTTATCTTTCTGCTATCCAGACTTTTCGGTAATATACATCCATATTCATTAGGGCAATATGTCAGCATCACAATAACGCGACGGCAAATTTTTACGTTGAATTTCGTATTAATACCATCGAATTCAAACAACATTTTCACTTCACATTTAAATTCACATGAGCGACTCTGTTGTGGTGCACTTTCAGTCACGGGCGGTTTAGATTACAGAGTGAACACAGCAGGAACAGTGTCACTAAGATTCAAGGGTTGGCTGCCTGTCTTTCTGGATAAATGACTGTAATAGGCCATTTCCTAGTTCCTTGTGCCTCTGTTTCAAAACGAGTCTTCTTGCAAAACCTTTGTTACGAAAATGAGTTTGATTTGCATGAAAATGAACCTGTAGGCGGAGCTCATTTTCATATGAATGGATTTACACGCAGACCCGTTTTGACACAGAGGCAAAAGTCAACTCGAAAATGGCCTATTTACTTGGTTTTTGTTGTATGTTTTGTTATAAAGCAATAATGAAAACAATATGGCAGTACTTTAGTGTAGTGTAACGATTAAATACCCTCTCCTAACTGAAGCAGTTTTGGCAATATATTTTCACCCCTATTTCAATAAAGCTCGAGAGCACCCTTACTGTGTCAGCCGGCATAAGCGTCCTTGAGCACTTTTTACGAGCGTTGCGTGACCATGACATCCCAAAAACGGCTGCGCATGCAGAGGGGAGACTACGGTACCTGGCGCTAGCGCTTATTATACCATTTCCTCAGTTGCCGGGAATTTGTTTTTGGCTTCTTAAATCAATAGATTAAAACACATTTTCCTTGCGTCAAAACTGCCGATGTCAAGAAAAAAAATTGTGGGGAGTGTTGCGTGACATCCCCAAAAGCAGCTGTGGATGAAACTACAGCTACCGAAGCTAAACTAAAAACACCCCTGGCGTTACATTGAATCATAACGGTACCGCTGGTGCAAAAGAAATGAATCAGTGGGACAAAGTGAAATGTAGGATATGGAGTACAATTAAGCAGTGTGTTTGCAGAAAAACTCTGCAAAAATAACAGTAGTCTTTCGAAATTTCAGCAAAAAACAATCATACGGTTATCCAACGTGGGTGGGAACTTAAACACAAAGCTCACACAAGCGTGCATACAAGCGCGAAACCTCTAAAATGTCCAAGTTATGTCTAGTTTTTCTCACATATAACTGTAACATACAGATGCATTCTTCAACTTTCATATTTGATTCATATTGATCTCTTCGACAACAATTCTGGGATTCAAATCAACTCTGATAAATGGAACTTTCGGTGCTCCCTGATGACCGACGCAGTCCTCTACCCACAATTCCACTGACACTTCTCCAGCGGGGAGTGCGCAGTAGCCTTCAAGTCTCACGTGACGGTACTCCATGCCAGCGAACACCTTGATGCCTTGTAGCCTGGCCTCGATGTTGGCTCTCTGACACTCGATGGCGTCAAACGCAAAGAACCACCGCTTGCAGCAGGAGTTGCAGAAGCCAACGCGCATGCTCCCTTCGAAGGTCACGTGTAAAACAGTATTTTCACTTTGTTTGTTGAAAACACACTCCTGAGGAAACAAATAACGCGGGGGAGATTGGTTTATACTAACGGAGAAATTCTCGTGCTTGCGCATACGTTTCTTGTTGTTTATATGGACATTCTCAAACTCATTAATAATTCATCAAGTTTAAACAAAGGAAATCATGACCGTGACGGTATTTGGATATCTGATCTTAATTAGCATAGGTTTTTACGATTTTAATTCTCCGTTTTCTCCTTAGTTTTAGTCTCGATTGAGAAGATATATCAAACACTCAAGACCGTGTTTAACCACATTTCCAAACACCTCGAAGTTCGTCAAAAATACTCCGCTGCGCGTCGTATTTTCAGCTCTCTTCTCGGAGTTTGGAAATGTGGTCAAACACGGTCTTTCGTGTTTGATATATTACCTCTCGTACTTGCAAAAGACTTACTTAATTTTATATCCTATTTCTTATTTATAACTGATGTAGCTTTTGCAAGAAGTGAAGACTGTAGGCAATAGAACATGTGAAATATATACACAAACAAAAAAGAGGAATTAAATTCGGACTTCAGCGACGAAACCGATCGATGAATCATCTCCTAGGACCCGACCGCACTAATGCGTTTTCGTATGAAAACGCATACTTTTTGATGCATTTTCACCTATCGTCTACACTAACACGAACGAAAACGCAGATGAAAACGGAGCCTTTCGAAAACGATTTCAAAAAGCGTAGTCTTTGATGGTTTTGAAAACGCTCCATTTCTAGTGTGGGCAGGTGAAAACAGAGGCTTTTGAAAATGGTGTCGAACAAAGTGTCATATACTGTCGTTTCCATCAGCGTTTTCGGGCGTTTCACTGTGGACGATGGGCGAAAAAGTATAAAAAAATAGGCGTTTTCGAATGTAAACGAATTAGTGTGGACAGGTGGAAACACAACGAAAGCGCTAGTGTGATCGAAAATATTTTCAGCTTCATTTTGGTTGAGACGTAAACGGATACTTTAAAAAACTCATCAGTCTGGTCGGGGCCTTAGTTAAGGAGAGGGATTTATCGTTTATCTAACAACAACAACTAACCTTAAGCAAGCCGTATTGTTGTAGGGGATCATGTTTCCACGAACATGTTTTCCAGCTGTGTATGGACCCGGAATTTCCTGGCTGTCCTTTAGAGCCTTTGACGCCGGGAAATCCCCGGGACCCCTTTGTTCCCTTAAATCCCTCCAATCCCTGTTCTCCCGGAAAACCTTTAGGACCGTTCCTTCCCGGCAGTCCTTTGGGTCCGAGTGCTCCTGGAAACCCTGCAAAGAAATAGGGCTTTGTCATGGACGGTGCAATCGTTTTCCAAGTTTGTCATTCGCAATTTGTCTTAATCTTCCTCGGTGTTTCTTATTTTCAGTTATTATCATTTCTGGGTACTTTCCTATCTGAGAAACTGACATAATATTGAGATTTCCTTCCATGTAATTTTGTGGTTGAGAAGATTCGTGACAAAGCTTCGAATTCTGTAAGGTTGCAAAGTTTGAATTTTGATTATGACAAGTGAGAGGTTATCGCTGTGGATCAAGCATTCCCGATTTAGTTCTTTGCACCGAAAGCAGTCCCACCTTACGTTGTTGTCACTTCACGCTTGAGGGAATAAAAAAAAAAGCGAGGTTCCTCGTAGTCTACAGTTTTGTGCCCAGAAGTATGACCGTGACGGTGCTTGGATATCTGATCTTAATTAGGTTTTTAAGATTTTACTTCTCCGTTTTCTCTTTAGTATTAGTTTCGATTGAGAAGATATATCAAACACTCAAGACAGTGTTTGACCACATTTCCAAACAAATGTGACAAAGACGGCGCCTAAGTGGCCAAGACTGTTTAAGAAATTGTTACCGAGTAAAAGCAAAACAAATCTACAATACCTAGCTGGCCGCTCCTTCCTTTTGGTCCAGGAAGAGGAAAAGGGTCTACTATGTAGCTGAATCCTTTGGGGCCTCTCTCGCCTCTAATTCCCTTAATACCGGGTACGCCGGCTGGTCCTGGATTCCCTGGGGCCCCGATAACTCCAGGGGATCCGATAAAGTCTTGCTTACATTTGGTTTCAACCTGAAAGCGAAATAAAATAGATGGAAATAAAATTAAACACAGTAAATTAAAACTGTGATAGATTATCAAAAATGTGTAGTTTTAAAGCAATCTTAACTTTCTTATTGGATGGTACAGAGAAGAAATCACGCGACATGAGATAAAATAAAGGTCAGACTCAAAACGAAACAAACACATACAAACAACAAAGAAACAACCCACACAAAAGAGGAACCGGATGAAAAGTGCAAGAAGTAATCTCTGTGAACCAAGCTGTCCTCGCTGTAAGTTCTTTATACCGAAAGCAGCTCTCTTTTCATTATTCTTAGTCCATCAAGTTCACGGTTTTATCGTTTCAAGCTTGACGGTCGACTAAGAAAAACTGTGAGGTTACTTGGTCCGTGCTCAGATAAGCAGTGTGGTTGGAAGCTTATTCGAGTTTTATTAGCTTATTTCAGACAGGCTCCCTGAGTGTCAACACCGACATCATATCACAGTATATCGTTTAAATTTAATTCAAATTTAGAAATCATTTTAAGTTACATCAGTGCAATTTTACCTCTTGACACAGAAGTCTTCCCCAACGGATTGTGCTTTGCGGCTGCACCACTTGGTAAAAGACGGACAAGATGATCAATCTTAAAATTCGTGTCATGTTGATTGCATGAAAAACGGTCAAACTGCGGAAAATAATTAAACATAATCAGCGACGAAATAGTAATGGAAATTAAAACGAACAATATAAAAACCGATTTTTAGTGCCCCCTTTTATCTACAAGAAAAATAACCCACGCTTTATTCCCTGTTGGATAACACGGGATTCACTTTACATCGTGCGCGCGCGGGAGTGAAGCGCGCGCGTGTAGGACGCAAATGTGACACCGCGTGCACTCTGCACTGTGTCTTTCGTGGGTGCATGATTCTATGCTGTGTTTGCAGCGAAAGAAAGAAACTTTTGGCTTGAGCTCAATGACATGAATGAAATTAAGATCTGGACTGACAAAACCGTCTTGGCAAATTGAAACTAGCCGCCACAACCAACGCTTTGTATCAGAGCTCTCAGCAAGTTAGTATCAAGGGTGAGAAAACAGAAGGTTAACGACTATTACAAAGAGACTTTATGTGATGTAAAAGGTCCTTACCTGTTAAGATTGTCTCCTGTGGCCGCAATTTCGATTATCTGAATGGAGTTTTGAAAATGATCACAGCGCGACGAGCTGATTTGTAACTTCTGCCTTGTTGATGTGGATATCATGTGTCTGTACTTTCTGGCTCGAGTTAATCATTTGTTATTTGAACCTATCTATGCATTAAATTCTTAATAGCTTCCTGTCGCGGTCACGAAACCAGACATAGACGGTCGATATGAAGTTGTGGAAGCTGGTCTCGAAATTCGATCGAAATGTTCAGGAACAAGATTAAATCAAAGTTTTCCTGCTAGATGTCACTGCGCGATCCTTCTCAATCGGCCTCCATATTCCGTTTTAGTTAAGGGAGCTTAAAAAATGAAGTTATATTTTACCAGCGAAATTCACAACTGTCTAGATCTGTTTAGTTCGCCAATGGCTCTAAATATGCAATGACAGCGTACAATTTCAAATGGAAATACGAAAAATTAGCCGTGGTCGTCCGCGTTCCTCAGACTATGCAGAACTTGGCCATTTCACGTTCTAGTTTTGCAGAGGGCGGCAAAGAAATGCACAAAGATTTATAACGCTCGTGCACAGCTATTGTTTTCCTCATTAAACCTTTTGTTTGGTGTCATTCTCGTTGCCGTCGTCGTCGTCGTGGTTTGCTAAGGCTCCCTTATTTTAAGGTGCTCTGAGTAAATTTTCGTGTTTATTGTATACGAAATACAAGTGAAGTACAAGCACTACAAGTATACAGAATTTAGCCCTGATTTAATATGTATACAATCAAATTTACGTAAGTGGGTAGGTACAATCTACAAGCGATTAATTTCATGGGAACTTTAAACTAACAAGTCAACTATAGCTTTACAAATTCGAACCAATTTGGTTGGCAAAAAAGTCCTCAGAAATCACCCAGATCTGTTTCCTAAGAGGCGAAAATCTCGTCCTTAATAATTGCCACAGTCCACACAAAGGTTAGTGGATATTGATGTCAGGTAATTTGAAAGTTCGTGGATATTTCAAACTGAAATGCTTTCTTAAAAGTGCAATGGACTGTCGGTACCTAAATGTAACGGTACATCGTACTGAAAAGTTTCCTGTCCGTGTACACGGCCATCTTATATTCATAAAACAACTAGCGGGCACCAGCTTGCTTGAGAACTCAAGTCTGAATGTCACTGCATTTCAAAAACATCAGTTTGAATTACATTTAAACGAGTTTTACAGGCTTGTCAATCACTCAGAGCAATTTTCGATAACAGTCAATAATAATTAAAGAACTAAACTTGCGGAGCACGGACTTCTTGAATGATCAACCGACTGTTGGGCTGAATTTCTACGGGAACAATCTCTCGGATACTGGGATACCCGGGACAATCATCTAGCGAGATCCCCACGCGAACTAATCCCCCAGGGACAGAGCTGCAATAGCCAGAGATACTGCCGTGCATAAACTTTGGGAGAGTGTTCTTCTCTTCAGCGTCAACCAAGTTAAGGCCACTGAACACTGCATCGATACTCGCAGGGTCGGTACACGTCAGGTTGTCAAACGTGAAGTGCCAAGTTTTACAGCAGGTCCTGCATAAACCGATATGCGTTTCACCCTGGTATGTGACGTGTAGTGACGTTTTGTCGTTCTTTTTAACAAATGTGCAGGCCTGAGAAAAACGGAGACAAAGATTAAAGTGTAAATTCTTCGTACTATTCAGAAGGTTTTTTTTTTTGGTAACCCCGTTTGGGAGAGTTTGATCTAAATCAGGTGACATCTCTGGTTGTGCGTTTAGAAAACGTTGGAGATAAAACTCTACTGCCTTAAATGTTTTTAGATCATCCGTCCGTGTGCTCGTGCGTCCGTCTTTCCGCCCGTCAGTCAGTCAGTCCGTCCGTCAGTCAGTCAATTAGTCTGTCAGTCAGTCAGTCAATTAGTCAGTTAGTCAGTCAGTCAGTCAGTCAGTCTGTCTGTTTGTCTGTCAGTCAGTCATTTGATAAATCGCCAAACAGAGCGTTATTTAATAACAATCACGACCTTCTAGCATACTTACAGCCAACTCTCCACTGGGTGTATTGATATCAGGTTTGAACATGCATTGCTTCCAGTTCAGTTCGCTCACTCCAGGTTCTCCCTTATTCCCTGGTGGTCCGCTTACTCCTATTGTCCCCTTCTCTCCCTGTGTCCCCTGAGCTCCCAATGATCCCACATTTCCCAAACCTCCGGGGCTCCCGGCGTTTCCTTTCATCCCTTTTGCACCTTTTCTTCCAATCTCTCCACGTTCTCCTTTCTGTCCTTTCACTGGAAAACCTCCGCCTCCCACCGGGGAGCTACCAGGTTCCCCCTGAAACCCTTTATCCCCGAGGGAGCCCCGCAAGCCAGCCGGTCCGGCGACACCGTTTGGTCCGACCGGCCCGGGAGGTCCTGGTAAACCAGAAAGCAACTCGCATGATTCCATCATCTGCAGAAAAAAAGAAAAGAAATATAACCAAAAAATGATGATGATGATGATGATGATGATGATGATGATGATAATGATATTGGTAATAATAAAAATATAAGACAAAATAAAAATAAAAAAATAAAGAAAAAAAACATGTTTCGTGAACTTGCATTGTCATTCGCGGTCGAAAATTGGCCTTATTGGTCACTGGAAAACCTGAAAATGTTTCAGTTTGGTGAATGTGACATATTCTTTTGGAATGAAGATAAACAGACGCACATAAAGAGGGGAGGAACAGAGAGTACAACAATGGTGTGAGGGAGGGGAGGGTAGAGCTCTCATTCGTCATTGATCTTAACTCGCAATGAGTACCATTCGGACAATATTTTCTGCTCAGTCAATTAAAAAGCGCTCGATGAGAATATCAAACGACAATGCAGTATAAAACATACGGTATTGAGTTTTTTTCGCCGCGACAATTACAACAACAGCTTTAACCACGATGTCTACTTTGAAAATATCAATGACCCAGCGAAAAAAGAACGATTTCTAGCAGCTATTCCTCACCTCGCGACATTCTGTAGGCGTCCATACAATGTCACCTTGGCCATGGACAGTGCTTACCATGAAGGAACACAGAAAAAGAAGCGAAAATATGTGCATCATCTTTGATCACTTTGAGTGCTCACTGTGGGCCTTAAATAGAGCAATAACAGACATCGATTGTTTCTTGGACTGCATTGCGTGACGCGTGCCAAGGCCGATCTTGGCAGAAAACTATTTCCGGATTAGGGCTTAATCTGTAATCCGCAAAAAATTTACAGGCATCAAAATGCTTTTTATAGAATCTTAATACAAAACACAACTCAAAGTGAAACAAATAGTGGCAAGTTAAAACCTGAAAACAACTGCGCGCGAATCTTTTTAGCCTTTCAGTTGACACGCTCGAGAAGCGCGTAACAAGCTACCTATAGTCACGCGCGAGGCGAGAGTCCTTCCTCGCACGATTAATACGCGAGTCGACCCTCCAAGAAGCTCTGTAATCGCATGTTTTCTTTGTCGGCCGTTTCCGCTTGATCTCTTATACATTCGTTCATTGATTTCGTGAGGAAGATGATGCATTTATGTAGTGATAACATCAGAGCTACTCCGAGGGATTTAACTACAAGTAACACGCGAGTTAGACGATAGCAAACCGTGATAAAGAAAAGGTAAAAGACAAAAGGCCTTTTAGATTACTCATGTTCCACAAAGAGCAAAGGAAAACGGATTCTAACGTGGGTGGATGCGTGGAAGGGTGGAAGTGGAAGGCTGAACATATAATTTTCGCGCGCTTTCAGTTAGTATCAATGCTGCCTTAAATTCGAGAGTGGGAGACGAAATTATTTTAGGGCGGTAGTGGTCTTGTTACAGATGGATTATAAAGTGTGGTTTGAAGATAATTTTATTGTTTGTGTTTTGTTACTATTAAACTAGCTCGCAGGTGCTGTAGTGTAAAGTTAAGTGCGTTGCAGGACAGATCATGAGCGGGCTGGGTTCAAACTCAAGCTGGGGACATTGTTTAATGTTCTTGGGCAAGATATGTTACGCTCACAGTGCCTCTCTCCGACCAGGTCTCTAAATGGGTACTGGCAAATGAAATACTGGGGAGGGGATGGGTGGGTAGAGAATCTTTGAAAGAACTAACCTACCATGCAAGTGGGGTGGTAAAAATACCCCCAGGAGATAAGCGCCAGTCCAGGGGCGTAGCTAGGGGAGGGGGGTCCTGGGGTGCCTGTAACCCCCCCTTTTGTAAGCTATTTTAAGCAAACAACCTACAACAGGTGGTGAAAACGATATGACAGTCTAGTGAGTACCCTTACTTTGACACAGTGTGACCCCCCAGCCCGATGGGCCACTTGGCTTGAACATAGACTTAACGAGCTAGCCAGAATTCACGGTAACAGAACATTTATTTTGCATTAATTGAAATTTTAGCCGCTTATCTGATCTTGTAAACTACCAGGTCTAAGTTGGCAAGGTGAAACTATTTGTATCAAGAAGCGAAATAAAACACAGCATCTAGAAAACTGTGTTGAGCCAACCCCAATACCGTGTTCCATCACCGCTCACTGTTTGCACGAATTGGGGAGAAAAAATGTCTCATCGGTCATGCGTCCTATGAACTTTTGAACCATGCATTACTGTATGTGTGTTTCATTGCGAAGGAGAAACTTCTTGGATTAATATGTTCCCATAACGTTTATACAGATTCAGATTATGCGGTATCCGCGACCTTGAAAATCCCGGACAATCCTCCATCTGCAAACCTATCCTCACTGGCCCTGAAGAAAATCTTGTTTCGCAAAAGCCTTCGATTCTGCCATAGGAGTAGAATGGATAGTTGAGGCCCAGACCTCCTGACATTACTGCATCGATAGGGCCTGGGTTTTGGCACTCGACGTCGTTGAAGATGAAGTACCATCGCTTGCAGCAGTCTTTGCAAAGGCCGATCTGAAGGTTGCCTTCGTAAACAACGTGTAGAACTGAGTTAGAGTCTTGCTTAGAGTAGATGCATTCCTATAAAAAGAAATTAATGTATAGTAGGTTAGTTCGATTTCTTCAGCACTTGCAGTGAAGGGATTAAGGTGTGATAGGCAACATCTCTGTCAAACACAAGCCCATCCTCTAGTAAGCGTCCTCTTTTTAAAGCAAGAAATTTATCCACCCCTTCCCTCTCTTTTCAGCCTATCCTCCATCCTCCTTTTCGTTGACAAGTAAAACAGACGATATTATCACGCCAACCTTAGCTTGTGTACGTACGCAGGCTAGCCAACCTGGGCCCTGAACCCAAACTCGCAAACAGTATTACCGAGCTCCGGGAAATAGTACTCGAATTTCAAACGAATCGACTAAGATACTTCATTGATCAAAGCACTGTATATTAAGCCCCTTTCTCTGTTATTCTCCACCTTATTTAAAATGGTTAAAGCCCAAGGATATTCTTTGTCATAAGAGGGACACAAGGTTTAGAGGTAGATGAACTTAACGACCCCCAAAACGCGCACAGCTACCGATGGAGTCAACAAAGTGTATAACAGTTTTCATTTGGTGTACTGAGGATTTCAGGAAATAAAATTCACTTTAAATACACTATGAAAACCTAGGAAAACAAACAGACCTACAAACGACCAAACAAACAAACAAACAAACAAACAAACGAACAAACAAACAAGCAAAACAAACCTATCAAACAAATAGCTACTCTACCTTCAGAAGGCCGTTATCTTTATTGCGGTTCAACTCCCATGAACAACGCGACCAGCTTCCCATTGCACCGGGAGATCCCACGATACCGGGGGGACCGGGCTTGCCAACATCCCCTTCTTCACCTTTGATTCCCCTATATCCTGGAAACCCATCATATCCCTTCCTACCTCGCAGGCCCAGTTCTCCAGGATCTCCACGGTCACCGGGATTGCCGCGTATCCCTCGTTCTCCAGAATCCCCTGGGGGACCGGGTCGTGCTCCACCAGAAGGGGGTCCGGGCGGCCCAAGAGGCCCAGGTCGAGATCTTCCTGGGGGTCCTCTAACTCCTTTTGCACCTTGCGGGCCTGCCGGGCCCGGAGCCCCCTGATTCCCGGGTAAACCTGGTGGTCCGGGTGCGCCTTGGACTCCGCGTGTAATTTGATCACACTCGCGGGTCATCTGAAAGAACGTTTGAGATAAAAACAATGTTGTTATCTGTGGTATGGATAAAATCGTGACACGCGCGTGTTGTTTTCTGAACACGCGAGAGAAACACGAGATTTGGAATTGATTGGAACAGTTGCAAGAAAAGTGCTTTTTAAAAAGGAACTGGAATTGATATTTCGAGTTTGCGTCTGAAGGAATGAAAGAACAAGTTGACGATTTTCTTTGTCTGATCAAACAAACAGCGCTTTATTTATCTTCGCGTGGTGATACAGCGAGATTAAAAGTTCTAAAATTAACTGAATCGGATTACTGGGAAATTGCATAGAATATATTTTCCCCCAATAAGGAGCGAAAATAGAGAATAAAGGTACATTTTTTGAATTGAAAACTATCCTTAATATAGCTTCAACCCTACACCCTAAGCAAGTAGTATGTCTCTAGGCATTTTGCGTCACTATTAGTAACGTGTACGGTTTGACCAACTGGAATATGAAAGCGGGCTGTGGGGGAGACAGGAGGGGTGGGGGAGATAAGAGGGGGTGGGTAGTTAATCGGAGGGGTCATCCTTACCCTTTGACAATCTCTCTGAGTCCATGGTCTAACTCTTTGTCCATAAACAGCCAACAAGAAAACATTTTGAAGGATGAAGGCAATCACAAGCTTCATGTTCTGTTAATGCTGCAACCCTCACCTAAACTGAGGGCAAAAAAAGTAAGAAAAATTGTTTGAAGAGCGCGAAATAATATAGACAGTCGTGTACATTTTAACGTGACAGAACTCGGCTGTCTCCATTCTCCCCCCCCCCCTCCATTTCGACTGTGACGGAACTTCGTCTGTGTGAAATAACATCAGTTTAAAAACGTAGTCCATTTCACGAAAAATTAAAGAAAACTAAGATTTTTCAAAACCCTGAAATGGTCAATAACAAAACATTAGGACACAAGTCATAAGAGAAATCCTTGCATCATGAATGGGAGGGGGGGGGGGGG